GAGCAAAACCAAAAGGCGCAAAGGGCCCCAGCCAATAATGGCGGGACCCTAAAAGTTAAATGCCAGAACCTATGAAATGCCATAACTGTGCCTTGCTGGTACCTGGTGAGATTGTTGGGAGCAGTATGGGAGAGCAACAACATGAGCTATAATAGGTACCTACGTGCAGGGAGACTGGAAGCATCTATCCCATAGTTCCCAACAGTATTGGTAGGAGCTTTGGGGTCCTGTGATGGGGTTCCCGCTCCTCTCGCAAGAGCCCCCTTGCCTGAGTGCATGTGCCTGCAGGCATACTCTGTCACTTCCTGCTCCAGAATAGAGCAATGCCCCAGAGCTCCCTCCTCTGGGGTGCCGCAGTCTCCAGTCCTCTTCCCCCCAGGGGCTAATGGGGACTTGAGAGGGACCCAGGCCTGCCCACTACTCTGGACCCCGGGCCAGGACCCCTGTAAATAGCAGCTGTCCATTGTGTCCGTTCATTCAAGTTCTACTGCTGCTCAAATTCCCTGGGTCACTTCCCCATGACCCTGCCCCGTCTTTTCCCTTTCCTCAGGGCTTGGCCAAGATAGAGTCCCAGCACCGGCACCAGCTCCCTCTTGTTCTCTCTGGCTCCTGGCAGCACCATCCTGTGCAGCGCTCCGCCAGCCAGCCACACCATCCACACTCCGTGGCCCAGCAGCTCTCTCTTTATACGAGCTTCCTAGGCCTTGATTGGCTGCTTCTCACACAGCCACTCAAGGGAGCTTGGAGGACTTCTCTACTACTCTTTTCGGGGGCGGGGTATAGGTGAGCCTCAAAGCCTCCAGTAGGGGGCCACTGGCCTAGTCCTCTCTGTCACAGGCACCTTCCCAACCCACAGCACTGCACTGTGGGATTCAGGCGGGTGAAGGATACAGTTCTACATTTTCATAGCTTTTAAGCTGGATCATCTCCTCCGCTATGTCACTTCCCTATTCATTCATGATTCTATAGACCTCTATCGTATACCTCCTTAGTCATCTCTCTTGAAAGCTGAACAGTCCCAGTCGTATTAATCTATCCTCATATGGAAGCTATTCCGTCCTCTAATCATGTTGATTTTCCTTCCCTGTACCTTTTCCAATGTTAATATTTTTTTTTCGTGATGGTGTAACTGGAATTTCAGGCAACATTCAAGATGTGGGTGTACCACAAATTTACACAGAGATATTACGATAATAAGGCAGTAAATAGCTATCCCTTATCTAATGGTTCCTACCTTTCTGTTTGCTGTTTTGACTGCTCCCTCATATCGAGCAAATGTTGTCAGAGAACTATCCATGATGACAAGTATCAGAGGGGTAGCCATGTTAGTCTGAATTTGCATAAACAATGAGAAGCCCTGTGGCATCTGACGAAGTGGGTCTTTGCCCACGAAAGCTTATGCTCCAATAAATCTGTTAGTCTATAATGTGCCACAGGACTTCTCGTTGTTGATCCATGATGGCCATGTCTACACTTGTGGCTTCTTGCGTCAGAAATATGCAAATGAGGCTAAGCGTGGAATATCGCCAAGCCTCTTTTGCATACCTAATGAGCTGCCATTTTGCAGAAGAACCTCTTACGCCAGAAGGAGCTGTCTGCACTGCCCCTTCTTGCACAAGAAAACCCCTCTTGCGCAATGCCGTTACGCCAATTATTTTAAGGATTAACGGCATTGCGCAAGAGGGGTTTTCTTGCACAAGAAGGGGCAGTGTAGATGACTCCTTCTGGCGCAAGAGCCGCTTCTGTAAAAATGGCAGCTCATTAGGTATGCAAATGAGGCTCGGCAATATTCCATGCTTAGCCTTATTTGCATATTTCTGACTCAAGAAGCCGCGAGTGTAGACATAGTCAATGACTCCAAGATCTCTTTCTTGTAGCTAATTTACTCCCTATCATTTTGTATGCATATGTTGATATTGCAATTTCCAGTGGGGATTACTTTCATATATCAAAACTGAATTTCATCTGCCACTATGTGGCCCAGTCACTCAGTATTGTGAGATCCCTTTGGTACTGGCAAGGCCACATCTGGAGCATTGCATCCAATTCTGGGCACCTTCCCCCTCTACCCACTGCGATACAGGAAGGATGTGGAAGCATAGGAGAAAGTCCAGCAGAGGGCAACAAAAATGATTCGGGGGCTGGAGCACATGACCTACGAGGAGAAGCTGAGGGATTTGGGCTTATTTAGTCTGCAGAAGAGAAGAGTGAGGGGGGATTTGAGAGCAGCCTTCAACTACCTGAAGAGGGGCTCCAAAGAGGATGGAGAGAGGCTGTTCTCAGTGGTGACAGATGGCAGAACAAGGACCAATGGTCTCAAGTTACAGTGGGAGAGGTCTAGGTTGAATATTAGGAAAAACTATTTCACTAGGAGGGTGGTGAAGCACTAGGATGGGTTGTGTTTCCCACTGATTGTTTGGCAAAGCTTCCTGCTTCTGAGCTTCTGATGTAGTTAATTTTTTTCCTGTTAGCTTTTGTCTTTTTTTCTAATTGCAAATTCTTCTTTGGACTCCTGTCTAATATTATGTTTACACTTGACTTATCAGAGTTTGTTATTTTCTATTTTCCTCAATAGGATTTGATTTCCAATTTTAAGATTCCTTTTTGCCTCTTCCTTTTTACACTGTTGTTAGCCATGGTGGCATGTTCTGGTTCTACTATTTTTTTAATTTCATGTGGTGGAGTCTCCATCCCTAGAAGTTTTTACGTCTCGGCTTGACAAAGCCCTGGCTGGGATGATTTAGTTGGGATTGGTCCTGCCTTGGGCATGGGGTTGGACTTGATGACCCTCTGAGGTCTCTTCCAGCTCTAAGATGCTATACATTTTAATTTGAGTCTCTGTTGTGATGTTTGTAACTAGTTTCCATGCAGCTTACTGGTATTGCATTCCTGTGAGTGTTCTTTTTAATTTCCAGTTAACTAACTTCCTCCTATTGACTTAGCACTTCAAGAACTATGTTGGTTTCTTTTGGTATTTTTCTCCCTATCAGGCTGTTAAATTTAATTAAATTGTGGTTGTTGTTACCTCGCGATTCAGCTATATTCACCTGTTGGACCAGAGCCTGTACACCACATAAGACTAAATCAAGAACTGCCTCTCACCATGTGGGTTTCAGGGCTAGCTGCCCAAAGAAACAGTGATTAGTGGTATTGGAAATTGTATCTTTGCATTCAATAGTCGAATCCCTCTATTATCATTGTGCTTTGTTTTTGTTGCCTCTCTGATGTCTTAGAGCATTTCATAATCACCGTCACCATTCTGGTCAGGTGATTGGTAGTATACTCCAAGTGCTATACTCTTATGAGTCAAACATTCAGTTTTAGCTTGCGAACAGGAACAGCTTACAGGAGAGTTTGGAGAGGGAGTTCTCCAGGTAAAAGAGGAGTAAAAATGGGACCCTTGTGGTAAGTGGCTGTCTGGAGTGTGTGTTTGTGTGTGGGGGAGTTATTTGCTGTGTGCTGAGCTTCTGTTTGGTTTGTTTGTTTGTTTGTTTGTTTGTTTGTTTGAAGGAGCTTCTAAAAGGTTTGAAATCTAGAAGCCTCTGTTAATTGGCTGAGCCTCAGTCAGGGGGAGGGGCTACCGGAGCAATATAAGCCTGTGAGTCAGCGACCAGGGAGCTTGCGACCAGGAACAGCTAACAGGAAAGTTTGGAGAGGGAGTTCTCCAGGTAAAAGAGGAGTAAAAATGGGACCCTTGTGGTAAGTGGCTGTCTGGAGTGTGTGTTTGTGTGTGGGGGAGTTATTTGCTGTGTGCTGAGCTTCTGTTTGGTTTGTTTGTTTGTTTGTTTGTTTGTTTGTTTGAGCTTCTAAAAGGTTTGAAATCTAGAAGCCTCTGTTAATTGGCTGAGCCTCAGTCAGGGGGAGGGGCTACCAGAGCTATATAAGCCTGTGACTCAGCGACCGGGGAGCTTGTGAACAGGAACAGCTAACAGGAGAGTTTGGAGAGGGAGTTTAGAGGGGGAGGTTAAAGGGCACTAGTGACTTCTGACCTTCTTTAAAACATAACTCTTAGAATAATCTATATTCCAGAATCCCAGTTTATACTTAAACTTATTCATTAGAAAAATGGAGACAGAAGTCCAGCAGCAGAGTGGGGGCTATCCTGTTTATTGCGTCACATGTAACATGTATGATTACCTGCTCTGTGGGCGGGTGGCGTATGTGTGCACCCATTGCAAGGAGCTCCTGACCCTCAGAGTCCGAGTTCGGGCTTTGGAGGCCAGGGTGGCTGAACTGGAGGAGCTAAGGGAGGTAGAGAGCTATGTTGATGAGACTTTCCGGGACACTGTAGTACTGTCCCACCTCCAGTCTGAGAGCCCCAGTGCTCTTAAGGAGGATGAAAGTCTCAAGGGAACAGAGCATTCAATGGGAGCAGAGGGAAATAATCCCGTAGTTGGGACCCTCCTCCCAGAGGATGTTGCGGTATCCTCTCACACTGAGGATACCTCTGAGGGGGAGGGAGTGCCAGTTAGGAAGAGGCAGGTGTTAGTAGTGGGTGATTCGATCGTTAGAAACATAGATAGTTGGGTTTGAGATGACCGGGAGAACCGTATGGTCACTTGCCTGCCTGGTG